CCCCTCCGCCACGAACGGTTTCTCCCGCGTCGCAGCTCCCCCCCCTCCCCCGCGTCTCCAGCGCCAGTGTGGGACCCCTGCGCCGTGGCTCTCTGCCCCAAGCCCCACTGCGTCCCCAGCGCCCCAGCGGGGCCCCCGCCCACTGCCCCCTCCGACACGAACGCTGTATTACACGTCGCACCCCCCCCCTCCGCGTCCCCAGCGCCAGAGTGGGACCCCCGCGCCGTGGTTCTCTGCCCCGAGCCCCCCCGCGTCCCCAGCGCCCCAGCGGGGGCCCCGCCCACTGCCCCTTCCGCCACTAACGCTTCATCCCGCGTCGCGCCGCACACCACCTCCCCCACCTCCCTCCCCGCGTCCCCAGCGCCCCAGTGGGGACTCCGCCCCGTGCCCCCCCCGCCCCGACAATTTTATTCCGCGTCGCGACGCACGCCACCTCCCCCCCTTCCCCCCCTCTCCCCGGCGCCCCAGTTGGACCCCCGCCCCGTGGCCCTCTGCCCCAAGCCCCGCCCAGTGCCCCCTCCGCCCCGACAGTTTATTCCGCGTCGCGGCACCCCCCCCCCTCCTCTCCGCGCCCCCAGCGCCCCAGTGGGACCTCCGCCCCGTGCTCCCTCCGCTCCGAGCACTTTATTCCGCGTCGCGACGCACGCCGCCTCCCCCACCCTCCCCACCTGGGACTCGGGCCCAGTTGCTGGGCCCAGAGGGCGATGCCATGCCCCTTCTTCCCCCCACCTCCTCCACCTCCTCCTCCTCCTCCTCCTCCTCCCCCTCCTCCTCCTCTCCTGCTCCTCCTCCCCCTCCTCTCCTCCTCCTCCTCCTCCTCCCCTTCCTTTTTGTGCAAGGGCTATGGCACACGTGCCACTTGTTTGTGTGACCCAGGGCCCCTTCACAGGACCAGAACACAAACATGCCCACTGATTGGTTGTAAGCTGCTGCAGACCCCCGGCGGGAGAGCTTGATGAATCTATTCGCGCGTGTCTCACGTGCGTGCTCGAGCTGTGGGCGACAGAAGCCCGACGACCAAATCTGCAGAATCCGTCGTAACGGCAGGGGCGTGCGCGCACTTCACTGTAGGCATTCTGGCCCAGAGCGCGAAAGCGACGAGGCCAGACCGAGGTTAGCTGAACTCCTCAGGGGCCGTTGCCACGTTGAAAACATCGTCTCATTTTATCGAGCTTGATGAATCTATTCGCGCGGGTCTCACGCGCGTGCTCGAGCTGTGGGCGGGCCCCAGCCCTGAACTCCTCGGGGGCCATTGCCACGTTGAAAACATCGTCTCATTTTATCGAGCTTGATGAATATATTCGCGCGGGTCTCACGCGCGTGCTCGAGCTGTGGGCGGGCCCCAGCCCTGAACTCCTCGGGGGCCATTGCCACGTTGAAAACATCGTCTCATTTTATCGAGCTTGATGAATCTACAAGGGCTCCCTCGAGGGCGCGAAGTTATTCGCGCTTCGCGCTTCGCGGTCCTCGTTTCTCCTCCCCCCTCCTCCTCGTCCTCCTTTTCTCCCTTTGGGAGGGCGGCATGAGAGCGCGAAGTTATTCGCGCTTCGCGCAGCGCGAAGCGCGAAGTTGGGAGCCCTAGTTAATGAATCTATTCGCACGGGTCTCAGGTGCGTGCTCGAGCTGGGGGCGGGCCCCAGCCCACCGAGCTCTCCGGTCTCCGCAGGCCTGCCCCTTGGGCGTTCAGGTGCGCCTTGCCCCGTACCCCTTGCCGCCTTTCGGAGGAGGAGGAGGAGGAGGAGGAGGAGGAGGAGGAGGAGGGGGAGGGGGAGGAGAGGAGGGGGAGGAGGGGGAGGAGGAGGAGGAGGAGGAGGAGGAGAGGAGGAGGAGAGGAGGAGGAGGGAGGAGGAGGAGGAGGAGGAGGAGGAGGAGGAGAGCTTCGCATCGCGCGCTGATCTTGGCTTGTTGTATCACCCCGTTTTGCCCACAGGTCTTGGGTGGCGGCGTCTTCCGCCTTGGGGGCGTCAGGGGCGGTTTGCTCACAGGGCTTCCCCGTCTTCGTGCACCCCCCTTGCGCGGACCCACGTGTTCCTCGATTCCTTGCCTGCTCCCTCTCATTTCCTTTCTCTTCCTGCCTCCCCCTCTTCCCTCGCTCGTGTGTGCCCTTGATGCGCGCACCCTGGGCGAAGCCCCAGCTGGTCTACGCATTCGCGAGCGCAGCCTTCCCCCCCTCCACCCCCCCCCCCCCCCCCCTCCTCCTCCTCTCCTCCTTCTCCTCTCCTCCTCCTCCTCCTCCTCCTCCTCCTCCTCCTCCTCTTCCTCATCCTCCTCCTCCTCCTCCCTGGTACGCTGGGCTCTTCTTCCTCCTCCTCCTCCCTCCTCCTCCTCTTCCTCCTCCTCCTCTCCTCCTCCTCCTCCTCCTCCTCCTCCTCCCCTGGTACGCTGGGCTCCTCCTCCTCCTCCTTCTCCTCCTCCTCCTCCTCCTCCTCTTCTTCCTCTTCTTCTGCTTCTCTCGCATGTAAGAGGCCTGCGCCGTTCCGCCGACCCCCCACGCAGAGCAGTGTGTGTGTGACGGGGTGTTTCGTGGCGCGGCTGCGCCTGGCTCGTGTTCCAGAGGCGTGTTTTCAGGGATTCTTCGAGATTCGGGGTCTTCTTGAAGCCTCTTGTCGACTAGACGTAAGAGTGACCTTTCGCCGGAGTGACCTTTGGTGCGGGCACAGATGGGTCCCCATATGGCTGAAAACGAGGCAGTAGCAGCTGCTGGCGCGCCCAGGTTTGGTCCCCCCGCGACCCCCAAGAAGTCGCGCACCAAAGGTCACTCCTACCCAGGGTCACTCCTGCGTGTAGCCGATCTTGGGCGTGGCAGAACCCTTCCTGAGCGGTCTTCGAGAGTATGGCGGGCATTCAGGATGCGCCAGAGCATGGAGATCCTGGATCCTTCCCCTCAGCGGGATTTGAGACCTTGGGAGATGGGACCGCTAAGCGTCTCACACGCCGTTACTGGTCTCACACGCCTTGCTATCCTTGGCAAGGGCTAGATACAACACGAGGGTGGAGTACCCAAAGTCTGTGTGGCAGACGTGCTGCGTGTTCGGCTGGTTTTTGATACATGTGTGTGACTGAGCGTTGTGGGACACGCAGTGAGAGCGGAATTCAGGAAAAGAGAAGGATGAGGATGAGGAGGAGGAGGACGACGAGGAGAAATAAGAACACAAAAGAAGAAAGTACAGAAGGACAAGTGTTGCTGGATGTTAGGTGTGAGGGCCGATAGGGATGCTGTTTCGGGGATTCTTGGAAGGCGCTCGGGGGCGTGTAGCATGCTGTATAGGGCCTCTTGGAGGCATCTGGGGGTGGTGTGGTGTATACGTGTTTCCCCGCTTTCCCGAGGAGACAACACAGAATGTATACGCCAGGATCCCGCATACACCAGGGTCCGCTGTCCTGTGCGAGCTTCAGTGCGGGGCCGGAAAAGGTGTCGGTATATATAGAGTTCGGCTTCCTGTAAATGTTGTTCAGACGGCAGAGGCCTCCCGGTTCGTTCCCTACTTTGCGTTCCTTTTGTCAGTGCGCTGAGGTGTGTCAAGGCAGAGGCGGGAATTTATACATGACCACCGCCTGGAGGGTCGGTTTTCGGAGCCTCGGCAGGCGGTGGATGTGGACATATTCGGGCCCCCAGGGGCCGAAACATGTCCAGATCCACCGCTCGCGGGGGCACCAGGACGCTGGTTCCCAGGCGTTGGATGTGGATAGCTCTCCGCCTCGCATCAATGTTGTTCAGACGGCGCCCAAGAGCACCCTAAATGCGACCAAAAAGCGCCCGGGAGGCGCCCAGTGAGCCTCCAAGAATACCCCCCCCCGAGTCCGTCCGAAGTTTCCAAAAAGCCCTGGAGCCTCCTTCCACCTGACACCATGCAGCCTGTTAAGCGGCCTCCGTTCGTAAACCCAAGCACAGCAACGGAAAGGGCGGAAAATGTTGTTCAGGAAGGGAAAAGCACACAGACACAATTAATCGTCGATTTCCCCGAAAATATGGGAAGTGGGGGGGAAGACAAAAAACCAAAAAATACAGGAAACTATAGGGATTATTTCTGTTCGTGTCTATTTATTTGCGTGTCCTGGGGCCCCTTCACAATGTCGTTCGGATGGCAGAGGCCTCCCGGTTCCGGCCCTGCTGCACACCGTGCGCGGCCCTGCCGCGTGCCGCGTGGCCGCAGATTGGCGGGCTGGGCCGCGCCCTGTGCCGCTCTGCCCCGCCCGTCGCCCTCTCTCTGCTGCGCTCCCTCCCCCCAGGAGGAGGAGGAGGAGGAGGAGGAGGAGGAGGATCGACGAGGTGAGCGAGGAGGAGCGAGGAGGAGGAGGAGGAGGAGGAGGAGGAGGAGGAGGAGGAGCGATGAGCGAGGAGGAGGAGGAGGAGGAGCAGAAGGAGGAGGAGGAGGAGGAGGAGGAGGAGGAGGAGGAGGAGGAGGAGGCCGCCCCCTCTGTCGCCCCTGGTTCGTTCACCGCCCCTCGACTTGGATTGGCGCACGCCCTGCGGGGCCTCCGAGCCTCCCTCGCCTCTCAGGGGCAGTGGTTTCACAGGTCCTTCTCCTCGCGCACCTCGCTCGCGTCAGGCTCTGCGCATCGGTTGCCTGCATCGCGGGTGCTCGCCCGAAGGCTCTCTCTTCGACGAGCGGCCCCCGCACTCCGGTCTGCCAGTGAGGGCATGTGAGGGCGTGGCCTCCTGTGCACTCCGGCATCCAAGTCGGGGCCCCGGACTATAGCCGGGCGGCTTCTCTGCTGAAATCGGCTCTGTGCGTGCGGTTGCGGCAAAGAAGAAATGCGAACTTCACTGTACACTCGCTTCGCGATTGCTGTTTTTTCTCTCTAGTGGGATCGGGCGTACAGGTGGCAGCGGCGGCACTTCTGCGCCACACTGTCCCGCCTTTCATCTGAGCGTAGCACCATGCTTATGCCATCGTTCGTCGACGGCGACGACGACTCCCCCCACTCCTCTCATCCTCTTTCTTCCGCCCTCCCCCCTCTTCCCTCCCCTAGAGAGCCACTTGTCCCCCCCCCGCCGCCGGACGCAGAGACCCCAGCGGAGCCCCTGGGAGGTCTCGCAGGACCAGCAGAGGGCCCTGTTCCGGCTGACCTCGCGCACCGAGCCGCCGCGCGAGCTGCGGGTGGGGCCATCGGGCGATAAGGGCCTCCTCCTCCTCCTTCTTGGTAGAATCTTGCTTGTGCTATGGCTCTTTATGCTTCGTGCTCAGTGTGTTGCTCTTGTTGTCTGTGTAGGTGGTGTTCGCGCCATCGCAAGCTGGTGGCTTCTTGTGTGAGGCCTTGCTCTAGTATCTGTATTGTTTGTTCGGCCATGCTGGCGCTTGTCTTTGGGCGATTGCTGCTTGTTGTGTCTCGTTGTGCATGTGTAGCTGTTGTATGTGCTGTATGGCTTGTTGCATCCGCTCTTCGGTCGTGCGCTTGGCCTTGTCGATGTCATCCTTGTCTTTTTCGAGGTCGTTGGGTTATTGTGCTGCTAGTTTCTGTTGTTGGGCGTGGAGTTCTAGTCGGAGTTCGGCTATGGTCGCTTGTGCCTCTTCTTCCTGTTGGTGTATATTAGGTGTGCTTGTGCTCGGCTGTCGAGAGCTATGTTGTAGTCGTGCTTGACTTGTTTCAGCTGCGTGTGGTATTGGAGTGCTTGTGCTGTAAGTACTTCGAGTTGCTGGTTTCTTTGCTCGTTCTGCAGGGTCGTGAGGTGTGCGTGCTCTCTTCTTCGTCTGGTACACGTCGTCGTGCTGCTGGTTCGGTGCGTAGGAGTTGCTGCTCTGCTAGTTGTAGTGCTTGTATTTGCTCCCGGGTTTGGTGGCAGTCGTAGGATAAGTAGTCGTTTGCCGTTTGTAGTTGCTCTATGGTGTCTTCTGCGTTCGTGAGCTGCTCCTGTACGTGTGTCATTTGGTCTGTGTTGCCGTGCTGCGCGTAGCTCTCGTATGCGTGAGCCACTTGCTTGTAGGTCGTCAAGTGCCTTTTCGAGTAGTGACTCGAGCCTCGTCGTGCCGTCTTGCCTGTTGGGGCTGGTCGGTGTCGTTTTGAGGGGGTGTAGTGGTGTCTTTGCTTGGGAGTATTTGTTGAGCTGGATGTCCCGTGCTCTGGGTGATGCCGAGTGGTTGTCGTGTGGGCTAGGAGTGTGTTGTCGTTGGTGGACAAGCTCCTTTTCCAGATTGGTGTATGTCTTCGTGAGTCCTATGTTGTCGTCGTGTCGTTGTTTTGCCTGCTTGAGCGTGGCCTCGGAGATCTTTGTGCAGGCCGCGTAGTCGTCCTTGAGCTCTCGTATGTCTTGTAGTTGCTCATGCGTTGGCATCTGGTCGAGAAGTTGCCTTTTGGTAACTGCGAGCTCGTGTCGTAGGTGGTCTGCCTGCTGCCCAGCCCTTTTCGACTGCCAGTATATGTGGTGCTAGCTTCCTGATGTTTGCGGCTTCGGAAGTAGTCCAGCTCCCACTTCTAGTGGCGTGATATCTGGTCTGTCGTTTTGCTGGGCGTCGTCGTGATATGCTTCGGGTATGCTGTCGATGAGAGTCTTGGCGTTCCTGTCAACGTATGCTGCGTGGTCGGGGTTGCTGTCAAAGCTGGGTTGAGGTGACTGGTTGTTGTGTCGGCTTTGGGTCCCGTCTTGTTTCTGTTGGGTCCTCTGTCTGGGTGTGGCCGTGTGGCCGCTCTTCTTTGGCTGTGGGTGTACTGAGGCTGGTTCCAGGTGTTTGTAGCTTGTGTCTCTGATGCCGCATTGTAGTCCATGTCTCCTTTTTGGTGCATGTGGGTCGCTTGCGACGGGTGGTAGGTCGGAGCTTGCAGTGTATAGCTGGTGTATCCATTGTGGCCCATTGGTTGCCAGGTGGTGCTCTTGCCCTTGCCGTAGCGCTGCTGGTGTTGTTGGTGCTTCCTCTTGCATTGTCCTTCGGCTTGGGGTGCTGGGGTGTGTCCGTACAGGTTTGTAGTCGTACGTCGTGGTGGTGGTTGTGCACTGTGATGTGTTGTGCAGCTTGAAGATGATGCTGGCTCGTATGTTCTAGCAGCGTGCTGAGGCTATTCTTAGTAGTGTTCGTGCTGCTGCTCTCCTTTCTCGCTCCCAGCGATGCCAGGCAGGATTGGGAGGTGTGGTCGGAGTCGTGGTCGTCGAATGGTGCTCGTAAGACGCCGTTGTCATAGACGTGAGCCTGCGGTGCTATCGTGGTGCACGTAATGCAGAAGATGCCAAGGACATCCAACATGCAATGCGTGAAGGTTAAGTATGTATATGGGAGAATGGCAAAGGATGTACGAGGTCTTGGGTATTCAGGGGATTGTGCCGTCGTGGCTGGCCCCCTAGGGCTGGCGCGCTGCCGCGGGCACCTGTGCCCGAGGCTTCCTCCTTCACCTCCTCCTCCTCTTCCTCCTCCTCTTCCTCCTCCTCCTCCTCCTCCTCATCATCATCATCATCCTCATCCTCATCCTCATCCTCATCCTCCTTGTCCTCCTCCTCCTACTCCTCCGTCTCTTCCTCATTATCGTCTTATTCCTCCTCCTCCTTATCCGCCTCATCCTCCTTCTTTGTTGTCCTCCTCCTCCTCCTCCTCCTCCTCCTCCTCCTCCTCCTTATCCTCCTCTCCCTCCTCCTGCACCTCCTCCTCCTCCTCCTCCTCCTTCCTCCTCCACTCGGGGTGGAGGTCTTGCTGACCCCGCACAGCTTCGAGGTGGAGGAGGATTCCCAGGGCGGCGAGCTGCGCGGCGAGCAGCTGGAGACGTTCGAGCAGGCGGGGCCGGTTTGGGAACTCACTGCTCACTTCCGCCGGCGAGGCCACGCGCGCATTTGCCCTCCCCCCTTCCCCCCGAGCACGCCTGCGTGTCTTGCGCGTGCCGTCGTCGCCTGCGCCCCTGCTCCGCCAGATCGCCCGCTCGCCTCGCGCGGCCCCCCCCCCCGCAGCACCCCGCCTGCAGCTCCCGGTGGGGCTCTCGCGCTATGGCTTCTGTGCCCCGCGCGCTTGCCCGGCACGGCACGGTGTGGCGCCGCCTGGCCAGCGGAGGACCCCCACCCTGGCCTCTGCCGTGGGTGCCGTGCACTGCAAGACGAGTACAGTCAACGCGCCTAGTAAGGACGCGCGCCTTCCTCTAGGGTGCCCTTGAGTCCTTGCCTCTGCGGCCCGTCCTTCGCCGTTTTCACTGGCCGCCCCCCGCCCCCAAAATCCAACTTCGGCCTCCAAGGGTCTTGCGTCCTTACCTCGCGTCCTTACTATACGTTTTGACTGTAGGACGGGCGGGAGCAGCGCGAGCAGTACACCGTCAGGCCTCGCTTCTGCGAGGCGCTGTGCCATGTGATCGTGTTCTCGATGCATCGTTTTGCCGATCGGCGCGGGCCTGCGCACTCGCAACCCCCCCCCCGCCCCCCTCCCCCGTGGAGTGGATCTGGGCTGCTTTTTGGGCGCCTGTCTCGAGCAGGCGGAGTCCTCCCGATAGGACGCACGGTTCCGAACAGTGGCATTGAACAGAGGTCCGGAGCCAGACCCCCCCCCTCCCTCCCCCTTCCGCCCAATGTCGAAACGCCGAATAAAAAACGCTCACCATTGAGTCTGCCAATGCATCCTTGCCTTCTGGGCCAATGCCTGCCTCTTTTGGTCTAGAGTGTGCGGGCTCGGCGCCGACGCCACTGGTCCAACACGGGCGCCCGCGGGCCTCGCATCTTTACACTGCACCCGTACTACGCGTGTTCAATTGATCCTGGGAGGGGGGGGGGGACGAGAGTGGGGGGAGAGAGAGAGAGAAGGAGGGAGGGAGGGACCGAGAGAGGGAAGGTCGGGGGTTGCCAAAGGCGTTCCTGGTCCAATCTGCTCCAGCGTGTCGCACCGGTTTGGAGCCCCTCGGGCCTCCTGGGCCTCGCGAGGGGTGCTCTGAAGGCCGTCGGGGCCTCCCAGGAACTCCCGGGGATGCGCCCTGGATACGCCCTGGGCCGGGGGCCCCTCCGGCAACCTCCGACCTCGGGGCACCTGCGGCGCGAGAGCCCGCCGGCAGGTGCTGAGCGCCATGGACGGCGCCAGCGCCTTCGGCTCGCGCCTCTGCGGCCTCGTCAACGACCAGCTGCAGCAGGCGCTGGCCTCCTCGGCGGAGCTCGCGGCGCGGGCGGCGGCCGCGGCCGAGGACGCCGCCGCCGAGGACGCCGCGCCGCCCGCCGGCGCCGGCGCCGCGGCGGGCGGGCGGTGACCCGCGCGCGGCGCGCGGGCCGCCGCCGCGCCCCGCGGCGCGGCGCGCGGGCGCCCGGCGTCGGGCGAGGCTCGGCGCCCGACGCCGGGCCCGCGCGCGCGCGCGGCCACGGGCCGCAGGGCCCGCGGGGGGCGGGGCGCCCGCGCGGCCTCGGGGCGCCGAGAGGCCCGCCGTCCCCGCGCGGCAGCGGCTGCCGCGGGGCCCACGCGGCGCGGGCCCCCGCGCGGCGCGCGGCGCGCGAGCGCTCGCGTCGGGCTCGGCCTGGGGTCAAAAGTCGTGCCCGTCCCTCTACAGGGGAATTTTCGACGAAAGCTACAAAATACCGCAAAAAATAATCAAACAGTAGTCCAATAATCAACCAACAAATAATCAAACAAAGCAGAATAGTAGAAAAACAGTGTGGGGACTTTCTTGTTATTATTTTTTGGGTTTTTGGGGGGCATTTGTTTTGAATATTTTTTGTTTTTCACCCAGAATCCCCCTGCAGGGGGCACGCCCGACTTAAGCCTGGGGCATCCGAGCTGCGGCAGGTTCGTGCCGTGTCGACCGGCGGCGACCCCGCCGCTGGCGTTCAACGTTGAACGCCGTCGGCGACCCAGAGTCGGCCACTGCTGGACGGTCTGGCGTGTCGGACACGGCCGATCGTGCCAGACCGAACGGTCCCTCCCTCGCCTCCCTCCCTCCCTGGCTCGGTACCTTCTCCCTCCCTCCCTCCCTCGCCTCATGTCGGGCGTGTCCCCCTACAAGGGAATTTTCGACGAAAAATTGAAATATTAGAAAAATATTCTAAAAAGGTGAGAACAGACCCAAAAGCTAGTCCCCAGACTATCTCCCTACCTAGGCTCTGCCTAGAAGGGTTCTTACTCTCTTAGCTTAAAGGGGCCGGGCAGTGGAAATCGCCCCGGGCGGTTCCCCCAGTCCCCGCCCCGCGGTTCCCCCAGTCCCCTGGGAGCTTTAGCCTTAGCTTAGCTTTAGCTTAGCTTTAGCTTTCGCTTTAGCTTTAGCTTTAGCTTTAGCTTTAGCTTAGCTTCAGCTTAGCTTTAGCTTAGTGTTAGTTTAGCTTTAGCTTAGCTTTAGCTTAGCTTCAGCTTAGTGTTAACTTAATTTGGCTTAGCTTTATCTTAGCTTTAGCTTAGCTTCAGCTTAGCTTTAGCTTAGCTTTAGTTTAGTGTTAGCTCAGCTTTAGCTTAGCTTTAGCTTAGCTTTAGCTTTAGCTTTAGCTTAGCTTTAGCTTAGCTTTAGCTTAGCTTTAGCTTAGCTGTAGCTTAGCTTCAGCTTAGCTTTAGCTTAGTTTCAGCTTAGCTTTAGCTTAGGCTTTATATTGGCTTCAGCTTAGCGCTAGCTTTAGCTTCAGCTTAGCTTTAGCTTAGCTTTAGCTTAGCTTTAGCTTAGCTTTAGCTTAGCTTTAGCTTTAGCTTTAGCTTAGCTTTAGATTAGCTTTAGCTTAGTGTTAGCTTAGCTTCAGCATACATTTAGCTTAGCTTTAGCTTAGTGTTAGCTTAGCCTTAGCTTAGCTTTAGCTTCGATTTAGCTTAGCTTTAGCTTAGCTTTAGCTTAGCTTCAGCTTAGTGTTAGCTTAGCTTTAGCTTAGCTTTAGCTTAGCTTTAGCTTAGCTTCAGCTTAGTTTGAGCTTAGCTTTAGCTTAGTGTTAGCTTAGCTTTATCTTAGCTGTAGCTTAGCTTTAGCTTAGTTTGAGCTTAGCTTTAGATTAGCTTTAGCTCAGCTTTAGCTTCAGCTTAGCTTCAGCTTAGCTTTAGCTTAGCTTTAGCTTAGCTTTAGCTTAGCTTTAGCTTAGCTTTAGCTTAGCTTCAGCTTAGTTTTAGCGTAGCTTTAGCTTAGCTTCAGCTTAGTGTTAGCTTAGCTTTAGCTTAGCTTCAGCTTAGCTTTAGCTTAGCTTTAGCTTAGCTTCAGCTTAGTGTTACCTTGGCTTCAGCTTAGTGTTAGCTTAGCCTTAGCTTAGCTTTAGCTCAGCTTCAGCTTAGCTTTAGCTTAGCTTTAGCTTAGCTTTAGCTTAGCTTTAGCTTAGCTTTAGCTCAGCTTTACCTTAGCTTTAGCTTAGCTTTAGCTTAGCTTTACTGTTACTACTAATGCTGCTTTCATAGGGGCTCCAACTCTTAGGTAGGGTCGCACTGGGATAGTTTTGGACTATAGTTCGATTATTTTTCGGGGTATTTCCCTACCTGGGCTCTGGCTAGAAGGGTTCTTACTCGCTTCGCTTAAAGGGGCCGGGCAGTGGAAACCGCCCCGGGCGGTTCCCCCAGTCCCCTGGGAGCCAAGCAAAAGCAACAGCAAAGGTAAAAGCAAACGCGCGGTTCCCCCAGTTGCGCTCCCTGGGTGCCAAGCAAAAGCAAAGGCAAAATTGAAGGCAAAAGCGAAGGCAAAGCAAAAGCATAGCATAGCATAGCATAGCATAGCATAGCATAGCATAGCACAGCACAGCACAGCACAGCATAGCATAGCATAGCATAGCATAGCATAGCATAGCGCAGCATATCATAGCGCAGCACAGCATAGCACAGCATAGCACAGCATAGCACAGCACAGCATAGCATAGCATAACGCAGCATAGCATAGCATAGCGCAGCATGGCATAGCATAGCGCAGCGCAGCATAGCGATGAGGAGAAGGAGGAGGACGGCGTTTACCGCTCCTGCCAATGCTGCTTTCCTAGAGGCTCCAACTCCTGGGCAGGGTCGCACTGGGATGATTTTCGTGTCTCGTCGAAAATCTCAGAAGGGGAAAAAAACACAGACACAATTAATCGTCGACTCCCAGGAAAACATAGGAAAATATGGGAAGTGGGGGGGAAGACAAAAAACCCAGAAATATGAGAAAATATGGGGAATCCTTTTATTTGTGTGTATTTATTTGTGCGTCCTAGAGCCCCTTTAAAATCCCCCTGTATGGGGGACAGGCCTCCTCCCCACCCCTGCTCCCTGCGCCTCACCCCTGCTCCCTGGGCCTCCGAGGGTCTGCGCGCCCTCGCGCCGCCCCTCGGAGACGGACGGCTGCCGCTCTCGCCTCGGGCCCCGGCCGTGGCGCGAGGAGCGCGGTGATCTCCGCGCCCCGCGGGCAGCCTGGATTTGTTATGCACTCTCTTCGTTGGGCGGGGCTTGAAGTGAAGTTTCGGCCCCCGCAAACCTGCGTGGGCGTGCTTCTGCGGGAGGGCGGCCAACTGGGCCAGCAGAGTGCAGTGCGTATGTGGAAAGGCGGCGCCGCAGCGAGTTGTAAAGGCAGCACGCATGGCGCACGCTGCAGCAATCAAAGACAAAGGTGACGGCCGAGGCAGCAAGAGCAAAGGCAGGGGCAAAGGAAGTGAAGTCTCTGCAGTTGCGCAGCTGTCCGCCAAAGTTGACAAGCTCATGGCAGCGATCGAGAAGGACTCGGTGTGGCCGAAGCTTGGTGGAGGTACGAGCGGAGGTGGGCCGCGCCCGTGGCCTGCGTCAGCCCCTCCCCGCACAGCTTCGGAGGAACGTGGCCCTGATGCCATGGAGACTGACGGTGAAGGACAATCGGCTGAGCGCGACAGGTCCTTCGTTGGGCGGGGCTTGGGCGGGGGGGCCCGACTTAATTTTCATTGTTCGTCGAAAACCCCCTGTAGGGGGACAGGCCCGACTTGACTCAGGAGGAAAAGAAACACACAGACACAATTAATCTTCGATTCCCCCGAAAATATTGGAAACTATGGGCAGTGGGGGGGAAGACAGAAACCCGGAACATATAGGCAAACATGGGGGATAATTTTATTTGTGTGTATTTATTTGTGTGTCCTGGGGCCCCTTCACTAACCCTCGCCTCACCCCTTCTCCCCAGGCCGCCGCCCCTATCCCCTGCCCCCTGCGCCCTTCGGACATGCCCGCCTCCCCCCCCCCGGCCGCGCCCGCCCGGCCCGCCCAGGCCCTGCCCGGGGTGGCCTGGGGGGGACGGCTGTGGTGCAGCAGTCCTCCAAGACTGGGCTTACACTCCAGTCCTCCTCCAGTCCTCCTCCTCCTCCTCAAGTCCTCCTCAAGTCCTCCTCCTCCTCCTCCGTAGCCATTTTGGCTCAATCTGCTTTGTTCCACAGGGGACCAAACGGATACCGCTAGTCCGCGGGCAGATCTTCGAGAGTGCGGCCTGTCAGCCCAAGGTCAGGACCGTCCTGCCTCAGTGGCTCAATCTGCTTCGCCGCTAGTCGCGCACTTCGAGAGTGCGGCCTGTCAGCCCAGGTCAGGACCGCCTGCTCAGTGCAGGCCGCTCGCGACGGCGGCATGGAGAAGGAGGGGGCGGTCCTTTTCGGCCCCCGCAAACCTGCGTGGGCGTGCTTCTGCGGGAGGGCGGCCAACTGGGCCAGCAGAGTGCAGTGCGCATGTGGAAAGGCGGCGCCGCAGCGAGTTGTAAAGGCAGCACGCATGGCGCACGCTGCAGCAATCAAAGACAAAGGTGACGGCCGAGGCAGCAAGAGCAAAGGCAGGGGCAAAGGAAGTGAAGTCTCTGCAGTTGCGCAGCTGTCCGCCAAAGTTGACAAGCCCATGGCAGCGATCGAGAAGGACTCGGTGTGGCCGAAGCTTGGTGGAGGCACGAGCGGAGGTGGGCCGCGCCCGTGGCCTGCGCCAGCCCCTCCCCGCACAGCTTCGGAGGAACGTGGTCCTGATGCCATGGAGACTGACGGTGAAGGACAATCGGCTGAGCGCGACAGGTCCTTCGTTGGGCGGGGCTTGGGTGGGGGGGCCCGACTTAATTTTCATTGTTCGTCGAAAACCCCCTGTAGGGGGACAGGCCCGACTTGACTCAGGAGGAAAAGAAACACACAGACACAATTAATCTTCGATTCCCCCGAAAATATTGGAAACTATGGGCAGTGGGGGGGAAGACAGAAACCCGGAACATATAGGAAAATAAGGGTGATTATTTTATTTGTGTGTATTTATTTGCGTGTCCTGGGGCCCCTTCACTAACCCTCGCCTCGCCCCTTCTCCCCGGGCCACCGCCCCTATCCCCTGC